CTCGCACGTGCTTGTGTGCGAAGCCTGATGTACTTGTAAAAGGAAATTCTGCACAGCAAAAGCACGTGCTTGCGTGCTTCCCAACAAAATTAGAGATAGAGAGAGAGACACGCAAGACGAACACAAGCAAGTGCAAAACAATCCACGTGCTTTGTGTGCTTACCAATCATACTGGAGTATTTGTACCCGAAAAGCGTAATTCGACTTCTCCAACCAAACTCCAGTAGAAAATAAAGCACGTGCTATTTGTGCTTTCATGTTTTAGACCAATCATACTTGAGTATTTGTACCCGAAAAGCGTAATTGAGTATTTGAAACATCAACTTGACTTCCCACACAATCCATTCTGCCATGAACTCAGAACTTGTGCTCAAGAAGTCGGATGGAAACTTCGAATGTCCCAATTGCTCGTCACGTTACACCAACGTAAGAAGCCTGCGAGCACACTGCAAACGGAAGCACGGAGTCACTGTGACTGTTTTTGAAAAGAAGAGCATTGTCCACAAACAAGAGCAAGCCAAGGCGCGAAAAGCGCGTGGGACAGCGACCAAGACTGTAATTCGAGCGATGCGTACCAAACCCATCAAGACAAGCAAGCGCGATACGTTTACCTTTGCCAACGCACGTCTCAGAGAAGCCCACGAAGCTGTCAATCCGTTTGTGAAGATTGGCGAGTCAACCATTCCTGGTGCTGGCCGAGGCATGTTTGCTGCAATCGATATGCTGCTAGGTGACATTTGTACCGCGTACGACGGAACCAAGGTTTTCGTGGAGCCAAAAGACCATGCTTACGCCGGCGAACTGGGTGTCACGAAAAGGAAATCGTGGCTGCTTGGTTTGAAGGATCCGGTGGCTGGTCGTGGACTGGGGTCGTTTGTCAATCGCGAATGTCGCGAACGCTCTGGATGTTTGAAGAATTGCCAATGCAAGTGTCATGTCGTTCAAGCGCGGAATGCATGTCCGACTGAGCTGGTGTGGTCATCAAAACGATAATGACCCCCGCTATTTGAAATGTCCTGTCATGGCGAACAGAAAACGTTATTCTGACATTCCTCCGTGCAGCGCAAGTGTAACTTTCATGATTCGCGACGAGTGTGTATACGTCACTGCTGAGGTACAACGCAATGTGAAAACGAAACTGATCCATGTATAGGAGCTTCGACACAGCCATTCATTTCCATTGGGATCTAGTTCAAGCGGAGTCTCAAGGAGTGAACCTCCGAGCGAAGGATGTTCGGGTGTTAAAAACGACTTGTACTCACTATGCTGTAGCGACAGGATTGACGGCTTGGAAACGGTGTTGGTTGGAGTTCGAGAGGCAATTGCCGCACTCACTAGCACAGTGTTAGCGAACCTTCAGCCCACCCCATCAAGGACTTGTAGTTGCAGTGGCAACGTAACTGCCATTGAAACATCATCCGCACCCATTTCAGCCCATAGGGCTGTGAAATTTGTCCAAACCAAACGTCGGAACCACCCAGGGCTGACCCAGCGACAACAAAACAGCCCAAGGAAGACGACAGAGTTCACAGCGGCAGCGACCGAAGAAGATCCGCGAGCCAAAAGTTGACAGCAATGGCAACCTCAACGACCCTGCAGCTCAAGTCAAAGTCATGCATTTGCGTGATCATGTGGCCAACTTTGTTGTTCGAACGGAAAGTAATCACGCCATGTTCAGCAACATCGAGTACGTCCAGCAACAAGTCAAGATCAACAATTGGGACCTCAATTGTTGACCTCAAGACAGCAGTGCGAGATTTCTTCATGAGGCGTGGTGAGGTTCAGCCCAGTTACCCGTTGCGCAAGATGTTTTAGAGCTGCTCGGGTGATATTGGCTGTTATGCCAAGATACTCAAGATCGACATTTTCGTTTTTCGGAAACTCCCATGATGCAAGACCCCTGGACGCTAGAAAAACACTTTGTGCACCAATTCACACCAAGGAATCTTCCTGAACCTTCGAGTGCATTTATCCCCATCAGTACGTGGAGCTCTGTCGTCTGTGGTAAACAGTCTTCAAGAGCCATCTTTTGCTGTGCACGCCAGGGCACTAAATCCCCCTGCATTCGAAACTGTAAATACCTTATTACATAAATTTCATGTGTATGATGGAGTATGGAGGCACGTGTTATATTTTCTACTGGAGTTTGGTTGGAGAAGTCGAATTACGCTTTTCGGGTACAAATACTCCAGTATGATTGGTAAGCACACAAAGCACGTGGATTGTTTTGCACTTGCTTGTGTTCGTCTTGCGTGTCTCTCCACCTCTAATTTTGTTGGGAAGCACGCAAGCACGTGCTTTTGCTGTGAAGAATTTCCTTTTACAAGTACATCAGGCTTCGCACACAAGCACGTGCGAGTGCTTTGCGTAACCCTAAACCACTTCAGGTTTGCGAAATATTTCTGATAATCGCTTCAGGTTAGCGAATTTTCTTTGATGGTTGGTTATAAATGTCGCACAACCCGCCCAAATGTACCATATTCCTGGGTCCACGACATCCAGAATTCATTCATGGTCCTCACCTTCAAGTCATATGTAGAGCTTGTATAATGGCAGGCATTTAGGGTGGGACGTTGTTTGTGCCATGTTTGAAGGGTCGTGGGACGTTTGACTAAGGGGGGCTTGGTGGGTTCAGAGGAGACCAGGGCCTTGCAATTAGTTCTGGTTGGGCTGCTTGGCGGTTAGATCGATGATCCGTCAAGCAATCCAATCAGGAGTAATTGCATGGCCATGTCCTCCTCTGCATCCTCCACCCTTCGTTGTCGAATGACTCACTAAGGATCCGCAGAGCATTCCAGGAATTTGTAGATGTGCCTGAGTGGTATCGATGGACGATACTGCTAAATGTTTCTCGTTTTTAAAAGAATTAATCTGAAATTTTTTAATATGATGTTTGTGAATTTGACTGAGAGAATGGACAAAAGAACGTGGTAATGGTGAAGGTGGGTGCCAGTACATAGCAGGGTCCTATCCTATGTGGAGTCGTTGCAGCTATAGCTATGGGGCACTCGACTTCAAACACGTTCATGGGCGTATGCCTTGCAGCAAACAGTACCGAAACCCCGAAACCATTGATACCAATTTGGTAACGTTACCACCGATTTGACAACTGTGAGTTAATTTATGGCCACGGAAATGTGTACATTTGACTCATATGGCTGTTGTAATACTACTACGTAGTATAATGTACTGTAACTGTAAGTTGAGAGTTTCGCAAACTACAGTGTTCTGTACTGTAACATACTTCGAAGTACTTCGAAGTATATACTAACATGAAAGGTCCAACCATAGCGGTCATCTACGAATAATTCTGGGGTATAATTAATTCAAGATAAAGGGGCTAAGGTTATTGTATGTCAACAAATACTGCAAGTACATTATAGCTGCAAAGCTATCTCTTCATTGACGAGAGGATACGCATACTGTACCGATTTACTTACTGTACAACCTAGATTACTGTAGTAGTAACTAGTCGGAGTACTGTACTAACGTTATTAGGACTGTTCCTCCACTAACGTGACCGACCAGTGATGTCAGTGATGTGCCAATTTATTTCATCCAATTAAATCTTTCGAGCTGTATTATTGGACATAACAGAACCTCTCATGCCAATAATCTTGTAAAACTTTATGGTGGGAAAAATAACTATATGTAAAAGGTGTTCAAGTTTGAATTGACATCCAAATGCCGCCTCGAATGCCGTACACCGATCACACCCTGAGAGCAGCCGTTCAGACAGCCCTATCCAAGGCCCATTCAGGAGTCAAATGTTCGTGCACACAAGAATTAGGGAATCACAGGTAGAAATCTGCGACACACACGTGTATCAAAACACAAGGGAATTGACCTAGCGTTACAGCTGCGAGCGACGACAGAGCATCCGCCTACAAAATTGCGCGCAGCGCAGCGGAGGTCGTGTGTATAATTTTGTGCAGGAGGTGCCTTGGCGAGTAATGAGCCCCAATCGTACACTTCACCGAATGACGAATCGATTCCTCTCGTCGGGAAAGCGGCAGGTAGGCCGTGCCGCTCCCAGACGAGCGAGGCCTGTGGAGGACCAAATTACCTTATATAGTATTTGTAACGTTACAGTTTCATATGATTCCCCATTTTCTACCTGTGATTCTCTACTTCTTGTGTGCAGAGTTTCTGTACTGTACTAGTACTCCCCATTCAGTAGAGTGATTATCCACACGAAAATCCTTCGGGGAATACCGGTAAGCAGAGCTACAATCACCGAGGGAGTGGTTCGCCTATGTGGAATGATTGTCCGCCATACTTCGAAGTACGATAAACTTTACATCCAATGAAAGTGACGGGTCCTTTCCAAACCTATATTAATTTCACAATTAAAAGGAATGACAAAGAGTGGCTGTCGTTCAAGCACTTGGAATTGCTTTGCCAAAGCTCTCGCAAATGATGTCTTCACTGACTTTCTCCCAGGCCCGGATCGCCCTGTGATCATTGCGAGACGATTTTGGTGGGTCAAAGTCGTTTTAATCCTCACCATCGATGATTTCCTCGGCCAACCACTCGTCACGCAGGAAACGTTTGAACAGCGCCATGATCCCCTACGCCTAATGGATGGGATGTGGCATTTGGAGGTAACAGAACCAACAGACAGCTGAGCTCATCCTCAACGATACTGTAGGACCCATCACTCACGAGGGACTCAAAGTTGTCGGACAAGATGACAGACGGCTACAAAAGATGACATAAGTGTGGACGTGGCCAGCAGGGTATGTCGGAAGATCGTGCGTCTCGATGCGGCCACCTGGAAGTCCCCGCACGACAAAGAGAAGCGGCAACTTGGATCCATCGACACGCATGGTAAGGCCACAGTCATACGGAGGGAGTGTTTCTCCCCAGAGGACACCTTGGTATCGCCTCCACGGATCGATCAGATGTACTTGGGTGGCATGTCGTAATAGAACCCAGTTTCATCGACGTTGTAGACGCTATCATCGTCGAAGGTGCTGTACAAGCAATGATATTCGTCGCTGACTTCAGCCAATGCAGCGTGCGACTTCTTGGTGACCGGCGTGTTGACGACTGTAACCGTGGCGGCGGAAACACTGCTGGATGAGACAGAGCAGGCTTTGGTAGCCAGTGCAGCTTGCTTGTCAACAAGGTAGAGCCGGAGCCACTGGCTCTGGTAGAGCTTAATCGAGTAGCCAAGGAAGCCGTCGTGGAATGTCCGGAATCAACATCTGGGCGCCCCCCATCTGGGTGCTCCTGCAGGCCAAAGACGGCCAAATCGCTCCGTCGCAAGCTGCCATCGATGCCAAAGCCGTCGGCCTCGATTTGATCGCGTGGTCGCGGGAACGGTCGGGGTTTATGACCAACCCGCACCATGGAGGATGGTACTACCAGACGTTGAACTCGATCATCACGCGCGAGTCAGATATCCTCGTGGCACTGCATGTGCTAGCCAAGACGTTGGCCTCCAAGGTATCTTTACCGACTGGCCAGGCACGGTCACGTATTATGCCAACTGCTTTGGCTTGGCGCGAGCCCAATGTTAACCAAATGTTACAGTGGAATACTAGTAATACAACGTTCGTTAATACAGACAGTACTCCGGAGTATTTCGAAGTGTGTACTAGAATATGACATCGGTGTTGGACGTTTTTGCCACGACAGCGTGCCACATACTCCCGAGTACCGAAAAGGGAATTGTAACACATGGATACTGGACCCACCAATGTATTACTGACTACAGTACTATAATAATACTTCGAAGTAGTACATGGGAAAGCCCCCCGTGTTCAAGTAATTAAATTTAGAAGTGCAGCTAATATAAAAACTGTATTACATATCCGACAAGCAGAATATAAAATCTTAAAAGTATGTGATACAAGAGTACGTAATTTTGTCCAATCATTGTCCACGAATGATTTGTGATTGGCCATTTGCTGGCAGGGAATTGCATGCTGGCCGGGAATTACATGAATCACCTTAGTCCACGACGTTGGCTTCCGAGGCATCTTTACCGACTGGCCAGGCACGGTCACGTATTATGCCAACTGCTTTGGCCTGGCGCGAGCCCAATGTTAACTCACTAACATTACAGTGGAATACAGTAATAGAACGTTCGTTACATAGTATGACAGATACCGTGACGGCGTAGGACGTTTTTTGTAGGGCAATCATTTGGATTGAGTGTGTTACAAAAGTTTAAAGTGATGTGTTAGTACTACTTTGGAATGGTTGCTGCTGCCTTCAAGACGGAGAGATGTCAGAGGGGCTAATTATGTACAGTACTGTAGTGGACCTGTCCAATAAATATCCCATGAATATGAGTACTGTATTAATACCTCAGATTTTGAATCTAAAATTTACTCAGACCAGCGATTTTAGCAAATCTGAGGAACCTTCATATGTGCGAAGACCAAATTTTGGTCTTCGTAGATTTCAAGGTGTCTCAGAATAGCAGAAATCACTGGTGCCCAGACTGATGGCGTCAAAGGTCGGTGCCAAGACGGCAACTAAGCGCTCAGCACCCAACTGGGGTGACGACGACGTCGATATCATGCTCGACTGTGCCCAATCACTTCTCCCACTCTATCAACATGGGTGAGCCAAAGTCGCTCAACTGTTCAACGCCAACAAAAGCGTTTTGTTTGCTCGAGACTGGGAAGCGCGCAAGCGCAAGTTCACCTTTCTTAAGGCGCACACGAAACCAACAGGAGATCCTAACTGCCCCGCCATTAGTCGCTCGTGCCAAACGGCTACAACGAGAGCTGGATTGTTGTGCTGTGGTGGAGACCATTGATGATAACGGCGAGAACAGTCAACATGAAGGCGTTGGTGACAAAGAGATCAGGATGACTGGTCCTGGCGCTATCGCTCACCATGGCCCCTATATGCCGACGAGTGCTGTGAGTTCTGTGGAGCAGTCTGCCATGGACGACGATTGTAGCGATGTGACAGGTGGGTTAACGGCTTGCCACCACCTTGCCCGCAC